ACTGGTCAAAAAAATCACAACATCGCTTACCTGCATCGAAGGCCACCCTTTGTCCCTTCATCACTGTTATTGTGGATGTTTGATCGTTAGCTTCTCCTTCTTAACTCAACAAATCAGAAAATCGAGCGTTCCCGCTACCACCACCACAAATGAGAAGCATCACCGATACTTTAGATAATCAAGAAATGATATACTTTCATCACCATCGCATCAAAGTCGTCGCATCTGAGAACCCTAACCCTAACCAATGTTCACAGCCACCACCACTCGACTCAAACGCCATTATCGGTTGTTTGTTTGATTTCAAGGTTCGTGTGCTTCCTTTTTATTCAAGTTTTCCTTTGATTTTATGGAATAACGGGATTTTGTTGTGTATAAATGAAAGTCGGTGTTCCATGTACATGGGTTGTGTAGATATAACGGTGCTCACATCTCCACCGTGTCACTGCTCACCACGGTTCCTCCCTTCTGCCATTTGCATATCTTTCTCATTTGTTCATATGATGCATACACACACCCTCTTTGCATACACACACCCTCTTTATGTTCTCTGTACATACACACATACACACATACACCAGTCACTCTCTATCTTTTTAATTTTGGTTTTTCATTTCTTTAACTTTATATCTTTCTTATTTTTTTATGACTTCAATTGCAGGCATGATTGGGATTTTCTGAAATTTGTGGTTTATACAGGCTCGATTTTGTTTATATCTTTTTGATTTTGTCTATACGCTCAAGTATATCTCTCTCTTTATGTTGTTTATTCGCACACACGCATACCAATCACCCTCTATCTTTCTTATTTATGTTTTCTCATTTCTTTGAATTTATCTTTTTTCTCATTAGGTTTTAACTTCAATTGCATGTGTGATTGGGATTTTCTAAAATCTAGGGTTTTTTTTTTGATATCATAGCATGAAGTTCACTCTTTAGGTAGTCTCAGTAAAATCCTTTACCTTTTCAAGCTCCTTTTGTTTTAACTCAATTTTACACTAATGTTTACTGATTTGCCACTATGATGCGTAAATGTCAAAGGTTCATTGAATTTGTTTTAGGGGTAATCTGTAGTCATCTTGTAGATTACGTGTTGGCACAATTCTTGCTGGAATTGCTTTGAGAAGTAGATGACACAAAGGAAGCTTATTTATTGCAATTATGGTGTCGTTATCTGGTCTTAAGTGGCTAAGAATCTAAGAACAACTTGATGAAGGTATCTTCTGGTCAGCAATACTCTTTAGTTGTATTTGGTATAATTTAAACTACTTTGATGTGAAGATATTGTAATTTAGTTTATTGTCATAACAGACTCTTTCTAGAACTTGCTAACAGAATAGGCGATAATATTAGACAAGGCGCGAAAGCAGTTGTGGTTCCTGCCAGCAATTCCATAAAGGTAAAATCAGTTTTTTGATGGAAACATAACTATTCTTATTAATTTATATGTTAAATTGTTTACATATATGTGCAAGCTATTTACAATGTTGATGCAGTCTCTTCAGAGTCCAAAAAGCCATCAAAAGGAGTTACAGTAGGTGTATTTTTAAATGGGCAAATTGTTGGAAATCTTAACATACTTTCCCCTATTCACCATTATACTTTAACTAATTGGGTTAACTCTCTCTCTCTCTCTCTCTCTCTCTCTCTTTGTTTTAGTGTGTGTATCACTATTGTGTATCTATGCTCTACTTTAATGGCAGCAGGAACAAGGAACCCTAATTAAAACATATCATATATGAGTAAATGTATGAGCTGCTTACTCTTTTTGATCGGTTTCACTGATATGCATGTATTTTAAAGGTTTGGAATGAAATAAGTTCTATAATATCGAGCATATTGATGTTGTCATCAGAACCATAAAGGTTTGTTTTGAAATATTGAACTGAAAGTTATTTTTTGTGCCTACAAAGATGCTGATTATCAATAACTTTTTATGGATGCAGGATAAAGATGTTGTGGAATTTTTAAGACAAAGCTGGTATTTTTTTTCATTCAATGAACTTTGAGTAAAGGTGAAGACCTATTTCTTCCTTTTTAGACCGTGAATCAGATTTGAGTAAGCTAATAATAAAATTGTTATGTTGTGTATCTATGATTCAATGTTTTTTTCTATACGTTTTAAAACATCAAATGTAGGTTTCCAAGAGGTTGTTGAAGGAGCATTTTACGAGGATGTCCGGTATGTTAGTTTCATGGACAACCCAGATCAGATCTAGAACTTTGGAGAGGGTTCACAATTGTGAATATAATATTTTAAATATTAGGCGTGTTGAAGGGGAAACACAGAAACTGTGGTGTTCTTCTAACACAAATAGCATTTTTTTTCCTTATTTGTTATGTACCATTATAACTTTTATGGTAGTTTATGATTTTTTGAACTTTGCTTTAGTATCTTTGTATTTCTTTATATTTTAGTATGTTAATTAATTTATATATTTTAGTTAAATTATAGGAAGTGGTTGACTAAAGAGATCAAAATACAAGCTTTACAGAAGAAAAGTAGAATGCACATGTTTTTCCTATTGAATAAACAGGCTTATATGTGATGATGATGCAGGCTTCTCAGTCAAGTCCATTATATGTACCAAATGCTTATTGGCGAAAAATATAGAGAGATGGGTTATTTATTTACAGATGATGTGTAATCAGTAGGGGTACAATTGGAAGGGATATAAAAGATGATGAATGATTTCCTTATGAATTATATGAATTTTTTGTGAATGGAGCACATGTTGTAAACTAATCTCGGTTCTAAGTTTTTTATTATTATTATTATTATTTTTTCCTTCAATTTGTTAATGTATTTTGAATTTTTCAAAAAGCGTAAAGTGTATACTATATTAGAGTATAATATAATGTTGGCCTTTAAGCCTTTTTAATTTCTTTATAGTTTTGATTATTTATGGTTTTTCTAATTTTTTTATTTTTTTTTATTTTTATTCAAATACATGAAAAAATTACAACATCAAAAAAAATGAAAAAATATAAAGAAAAAAGAGTTGCATGGAAATTACAAATACAAATGTACTAAGGGCTTAAATATGTAATTTACTTAAATATTGTTATACATGATAATAACTACAATATATGTTTTCAATCGTATAAATTGTTTTATACAATTATAATAAATAGATTTACATATAAATGCTTATATAATTTATTATAATTGTGTTTCATATTGTTCGCCCCTTGATTTGTGCGGGTAAACGGCTAGTATATATATATATATATATATATATATATATATATATATATATATATTATATATATATATATATATATATATATATATATATATATAAAAGCAAATCACCTTTTCTAAAATATTTCGTTTTAACTTAGTAATTAAACTCGATTTGGTTTTCATTTGGTAATATATCGTCCCCAATAACATTTCTTCCCTCCATTATCGTTTTACCATCCTTGTTTTCATTTTTTCATTATCGTTTATTACTTCACCCTAGTGAACATTATTGTTTTCCACCGTCACGAAGGTCGAAGATGGTCGATGTTCTTGCTTCCTTATCAATACTACTGTGTACATCATGAATCTATATCTTCAAATGTTAATCATGAATCCTTTAATCGCAATCTTTATATAGTAAAATAACTTATTTTGATGATGTTTAGTACATAAGTTTAGGTGGGGCTGTAATGTATAATCATTTTTTCATATATATATATATATATATATATATATATATATATATATATATATATATATATATATATATATATATATCACCTTTTCTAAAAGTTAAGGAAAGTGGGTTTCTAAGAATTAATGTAGATTTTCTTTGGATTTTTGAGGAATCTTATTGAAATTTTGAGGTATTTCACCATATTTTCTTTTTTTGGTTGCTACTATTAATTTTAAATCTCACGCTTGTATCCCACCGTCTCAATCCTCCATCATATTTTTAAATTTTAACACATGTATCCCACAATACGTCTTTTCCACTGCTTTTAATTGCTTCTTCAAGACTCCTTTTTTCTCTCTTTTTCTATACCTCACAGATAATCGACTAGAATTTAAAGCTCAGACGACATCCCCTCCTATGTTCTTCCTTTTCTATTGGAAAAGATTTCGGTTTTTGATTTTTGAGTAGGTCACTTGCCCGACGAGTTTATTAAGCTCCCTCTTTCACTCGAACTGATCCTCCCTGTCTCATTCCTATTCTATTCATGTGAAATTGAGGATTTTTAGCATTTTTTGTTATTGGTTCTCTATTTATTTCTTAATGAGTGATGGTGGTTCCAAACATTGGATTTCTTCTTCAGGTAATTCTCTCTTCCAGCAATATCCTCTATTGCTTGGTTATCACAAAATACACACGATAGTAACCCTAACGCTCTCCTATCTAACCCTAAAAAGTCGATGTTCAACTCTCTCGGCCAGCACCGCAGCACACCGATCGCCACCTTCTTTTCTCTCTCCTAGATACTACCATCAGAAAACTTCGATTTCTTTAGTTCTTCATGTATCATCTTTGTTTGATTTTGAAACTGGTGTTTCTTTGCAGCATGAAGTTGTGCATGGTGTTGTTCTAAGACCGATTTCCAAATGATCTCTAGTTTTGATTTTAGGGCTTTTTGGTTCTTGGCTTCTGATTAAAGGTAATAATTCTTCTTTCAAGTCCAACGTTTTTTTTTTTTGTTTTTTTCCCTTCAATTTTGTTCTTTTATGATGCACCGATTGAGGATTTTAGCATCTCATTTCTCTGCTGTAGTTTTCCCCAATTAGGAATGCTCCCAAGTACATCGTCAAGATTTGAAAAAAGGTAGACTTCGTGCTTTTCTTTTCCTCTGCATCGCCACCTCCTGCTAATTTGAAAGAACACTTGCCACTGACTATAATCAAGCTGCAGATTCGACATATCTGCCATTCTGGCTGGCCAGCATCCCATTTGCCTTTTTTAGTGTCTTCTTTCCTTTATTAAAGGTACAAATACTATCACGGATTGAGATACAGGAAGAGAAGGGATCAAAAGGTTCTAATGTTGTATGTAAGTATTTACTCTTTAATTTAACATGGGATTCTCTTTTTGTGTTTTTTTGGCATTGTGAATTTAATTTAGGTTCAATTTGGATCAAACCTACAAATTATATTAGAAATGTTAAATTTCTAATGTTTGATTGCCACTCTCATGATGGATTTACGGTGCCTCTTTTGCAGTTGACATATAATCCTAACCATCATGAGAGTGACAATCTTTGTACTGGCATAACTTCATATCCATTAATTGAGGAGAATGGAGATCAGGTAGAAGAGAATGGCCTTTAGTGTTTAAAGTCCACCAAAAGTCCAACTTTTAACCTTCTTCCTCTTGCTCTCACTCGAACTCTACCATAGTTTCAGTTGAACCGTATACATTTCTCTTCTAGCTATGTCAAGGTTCTTAATTTTTTTTTTCTATCTCAAATTTTTGTATGGTAATATTTGTTTAGTAAGTAGAGATGAAAACTTGTACTGGATTGGTTGTAGAAACAAGTAATGATGATATATTCATCACAAATACATTCATAACCTCAAACCGGAAAGAAATTGAGTTGGTAAAATATCGAGTAAATCCCATATTTTTTAAATTGATATAAATCCCAAAGATCAAACATCATAGTAAAAAAGGAGATGCACACCCCTGAATCATATCATCTAGAATCTGACAATGCTTACACTTGTAATTCTGGTTTTCAAGATAGATTATCCGATTTCTCCTTCTGATGATGCTATAAATCACATGGTCTGTTATATAAATGAATACATAAGCAATGCCATTTTTCTAAATATAGAGAAGTATAATATGGTTAAGAAAATGTGTGACTATCTCAAGATCCAGTTTAAGTTTTATCAACTCTATTCCATCATCTTTGTGCTTAAATATTAACCTATTTTTTGTATTTTATGAATGTAGGACTTAAAAATGACAATATAAATGAAACTGCTAGAAGTGTTTTGAAATGGTACCGTTAACTACTCTATGTACTTTTTTTTTCGTTTGTATTTTTCCGACAGATTCTTGACCATAAGCAGTTCTTTTTTAGTAGTAAACATTAAGTATTTTTTTTCCAATCAAACAAAAAAAGCTTCAATCTTTTTTTCAAATTAGCCATTTTGAGTTGTTATATTAGGTTTTAGAGGTAACTTTGTGATACCATATTTCACGACCCTTTCTTATTGTTTTAATATGAAGAAATTTGGAACCTCCTGATTCTCCTCAAGTTACTTATTCACGAGTGGTTGATGAAGACCTTCTCATGATTATGAAGGTAAATATTTTGTAATTAATTGTAGATTCTGTCTAATGATAGCATTGTACTTTCAAATGTTTTTCTTATTCGAACGTTATACATTGAGAAATCTACCTAACTATAACATTAAAATTTGATTTGTGTGCTCGTGACACTTAAAATAGTATTTTAGTTTAAGACAAGGACCATTGAGCTTGATGGAAAACAATCAAACTGCAAATATGGGACTGCTGGTCAGGAATGCATACTGAATGACTTAATGATGTTCTAGCTCTTGTTGACAACATTGGCATCATGCCCATGAGTAATATCTATACTCTTTTGATTTGTTAGTGTTATCATGTGTTCCTATGATTGTGTCTGAATGCCACTGCTTTTCCATTCGTGAAGGAACATTTTCTTTTTTCTTCTGATGCTGTAAATGAATTAAAGGTCGTTGGTCAAAGCTCATACTTGTATGATGTTAATCTTGTGGATGCAGTATGGAAAGAATCAAAGTTAATTCCTCTAACTATAAGAGTGTTGAGTTAAATATATTATGTTCATTAACTAAACTATCTAATTTGAGGTTTGAACTCTGACGTTTGTTTGCTTTTATGTATCAAAAATTCTGTATATAAATATGTTCATTTTGCAATATGTATATACTACTGAAAATTAAATCTAAACAATGATTTTTTTGGAATAAATAAGAAATGTCTTGCTCCTACATAGCAGGTCGTCCTTAGGACGACCTTTAAATTTACCTAGTGTGTGTGTGTGTGTGTGTGTGTGTGTGTGTGTGTGTGTGTGTGTGTATATATATATATATATATATATATATATATATATATATATATATATATATATAGGGAAAAGTGAATATACCCTTAAGGGTATATAAGCTTAGGTACCCAAAGTCACTATACTACATCGTTTTGTATCATATATATACATTGTAATTGTCCAATGTTCTTATAATTCAACTTCTAACTTGATTTACTTTCAAGATTTTTATCAATTTCACATTTATATTCATCTTACATAATTTTCATTTTGAACTATAATATATATAGCCTAGTAGGTGTTCGAAAAAAAGATGTGATGTAATAGGAAGATAATAATGAAATTTCGAAAATTTTGAAAGTAAATCAAGTCAAGGGTTGAAGTTTAAAAACATTATAATGAATATATTAAACAAAATGACGTATTATAATGAGTTTGAGTACCTAAGCTTATATACTCTTAAGGATATATTCACTTTTCCCATATATATATATATATATATATATATATATATATATATATATATATATATATATATATATATATATATATATATATATATACACTAGGTAACTTACTGGGCTGAGATAATCACGGCCCCCTAAAGAATTGATCAATCAACTATTTTTAAGTGATTCTAGAAAAGATGATTTATTAATACAATATAATTTTTTATTGATCCTAATAGTATAAAGGGGACAAAGCTCATCAGAACAGAGATTGTATTTTGTCATCCATTTTTCAAATTATTCAATAATCCTTTAAATGAAAATGGAATAGTTATATTATGTCGAACCTTGTAAATAGTCGAGTGTATTTGCTAGTTAAAAATTAGGCGACTAAAGATGTTAAATAGAAAATAATTTACCAAAAATCATGCAATAGTAACAGGAATTAAAGAACCAATTTGTTACCTTTTTCGCAATCCACATCTTGAGTAAACGATACAGGAAAACAATATTTTTAGAGGTTTTTTCCACTGCATCTGATCCCCTTTCTTTTCCCTTGCATCATATAATCTTCACACAAAATATTCAAAGTACTCTTCATTATATATATATATATATATATATATATATATATATATATATATATATATATATATATATATATATATATATATATATATATATAAAGAAATGTTATATCAGCCTATTTGTCTTCTTGTAGTTGGATCTCCAAGTTTTTGGAATGCTCCAAATTCTACTTGAGCATCCAAATCTGGGTCAATACCAACAAAAACATCTCTGAACAAGGTTCGGGCACCATGCCAAATGTGTCCGAAGAAGAAGAGCAAAGCAAATGAAGCATGTCCAAAAGTAAACCAACCCCTCGGACTGCTACGAAAAACACCATCAGATTTCAAAGTAGCACGATCTAATTCAAAAATTTCCCCCAATAAGAAAACACCAAAATAAGAAGCGACAACCAGAACAAGAATGGGTGCATCTTCTTCCTTCTATTTTCCATTACAAAGCACCTGAAATTTCATTTTCTTACTTAGTTAATATAATAAATACAAAATATACAAAAAGAAAATCAAGCTTACATATTAATTTCAGTAGATATACAAAAGGAAGTATTACTACCTATGCTTTGGGTGCAAGGATAATAGTAGATTCTACAAGAATAATGATGTTCTTTATGTTTTATTTATGTAAAGAAGGTAACGTTTATCTCTTTGACTTCACCAAATGGACATACCTATTGCAATAGATCTTTAGTGGTTGTTGGCATGACTTTTCCTCAACCAATTAAAATCCATAATTGGTTAATTATATTTCAGCAGAAACATCATAGGAAGCTTGCTTTGAATATGGTACCCATATATAAAATGGCAATTAGATATCATTATAATTTGTTTAAGTAACATAATCTTATTGCAAAATAGATAAAAGTTTCATTCTAATTTGGATACCTTTTGATTACAATACACCGTCAAAGCATTTATCAATGATATATGATCGAAAGAAAACCAAAACTCAAAGTATGTGTCATTAAACCTGGGAAAAAAATTTCAACCATGGAAGCCACCACTTTTGGATCATAAACAACACCCCGATTCTTTTCTATATTAAGGTTTTAGTTTTTGCTAGGTATTAAACTCATGTTTAGTTTTTAAAATGAAGCTCCAATCTCTAAATTATCTATGAAACTACATTTAAGGAATTCTCAACCTATATATGTCTATGATCTTCTGGAGTAACAGATGTATTTTCTTTTGTTCGGATTTAATGGCATGATATTTGATGTATAACTCATTTGGAAACAAAACTGGGATAATTATATATCAAATGTTTTTAGCAAAAGATAGAACTTATATAATATGAATAGTGATAAGATATAATGAGACAGATGTATTTACCTTTTAAAGGAGTTTCTTCACCGGTACCTTACGAAATGATTATCGTTCATAATCCACATACTATACATTATGTCCACACCAGGTACCGTCATGGTTCCCGCACCATTTCCACCTTGAAGTCGGACATCGGAAAAGGTGTTTTTTTAGTCCTTATGTGCGTAGAAAGAAGATGAAATTTAAGAAATACGATTCAATTTTTATTTTATTATATTCTATTTAAAAAGGAGGTCTAACCAGCTTGCAACCTTGCTTTTCCAGTCATGTTGGATACATCAATGTGTGAAGATCCTTAAATAGACACCGAAACAACTTCACCTAATGCTAATAGCAACTCATGCAGGTTGCTTTACCAATATTTTGACATGATAAACTATTTTCACACAATAAATAAACTTAAACTAAGATAAAATTAAATATAATCTTCTTAAACTTATGTTACTATGACTTACTTCGCATTTAAGCACGGTTTTTACGTCTTTTTCACAAGATAAATAGTTAAAGGTCAAAGAAACATACAGATGCATAGGAAGAAACAACTTATATAAGTATCAAGTTGTCTGATAAAACAAATCATTATCCATGTGTCAATACCAACTATCGTTACATGAGAAAATCAACAACCTTGATCGGCTCAAATATCTCCCATGTTGCCCTGTTATTGCCCTTTAAGGATCGGATGGTATTGATCTTTAAAGACCAAATTGCCCTGGTTCAAGCATTTTATCGAACACTTGGTATGCATGGTGAAACTTTCTTTCAAATTTCAACATCAACTGCTTGGGTATAACTGAATATTGTTTTTGGGATATGACTAAGGCAAGTCAGTTGCCCCACATCTCATTTTGCTTGCATAATCATCACCAAACTGAGATAATCACCTTGTGCCAAATCCAATCAAATGTCAAATCGCAACAAAAGGAACAAATATATTTCCAAACCCCTAAATGTGACAATTTTACAAATCATAATCAAAGAAACCACTTCCCTTATCATGAAGTCGATCACCTAAACTGGACCAAACATGGGGCGATTGATAATACACACGTTTCAATAGGGAAGCTTGAGGTGGCATCTTCATGCCAGGAAGGCATGACAAGGAGCATCTTTTAACGATTGCATAAATGAAAGTAGTAATAATTTGCAGATCTAAGAAGAAGAACAGAAGCAACGAAATCAATAAAGTCTCAACTCTAGTAATGCGAAAAGTAAAAAGCACAACAAATAAATAAATATCGCAATTGTAATCACCAGAATACACTAACTATGAATACCGATTGATTTTATTGGGAAAAAAATAATCCGCTTACTTAAATTGGAGTAGACCTAAGGCAACTTAAAATGCCACATATAGCATCTGACAACAAAGCTGCCATATATAGGCGTTGTGTGTAACCACAAAAGTTACAAAATTACCAGCAGGAGAATGACACTTATTTAGGAAGAAGCACTTGATTGAAGTTATAGGTAAACGGTGATACAGCCAAAAATAGATTTGTTAACAAAGATAGAAACAGAATTCGATGACAAA